CAGGGCTTCATTCTTGTCCAGCTTAGCTCTGTGGGCAAGTCCTCGGGTCCAGGCAAAGATGGAAGCTTAAATAGAATTTTTACAATTTTATACCTGTCATTTCACATCTTGATCTTGTATACAATTAGTATTTATATGCAAAGATAAAACTTTTTTTCTTCAGGAATCTTTGTCAGTCCTAAAGGTTTTTTTTAAGTTAGGTTTGATTTACACATAGACAACAAATCAAAAAAAAAAAAGACTATTTATTTAGGAACAAGTTTCATCTATATGTTTGCCAACTTTCTTATTTCAAACATAATATTATCTATAAGCATTCAGTTTCTTTCAAGGAAGCCATACATATTTTCTATAATTTGAGCTTTAATTACCAATGGAATTTGTTGATGTTTCACTTCCTTTCTGATGTTGACGGAAATGTCTGGTTACTGTTCCATGAGCAGCCTCGGCCTCAATGGTTTTACCATCCGGGCAGACCAATACGCTGGTCATCATTCCAAGGGATCCAAACCCTACAGACAACCAGGGATAAAATAAATTTACACAGGTACATGTTTTTCATAATGGCAGTTGACACATCTACTATACAGACATAAACTTTATTGTTGCTGTGCTTTGGGTAAATCACAAACCTTGAGCAACAGAATCCGACTGTACATCTCCGTCGTAGTTCTTACACGCCCATACAAAGCCTCCTTCTGATTTCATGGCATATGCTACCATGTCATCAATAAGTCGATGCTCGTACCAAATCTTTTTCTCTTCATAAGACTTCTTGTAATCTCTAAATACATATACATTTATGAAGCCAATATATAAACCCTGAATGACTGTAAATGAATGAGAATGTTTATTTATATATTAAATATACTAATATTCTACTCACTTTTCATAAATTTCTTGAAATATATCCTTAAATCTTCCATCATATTTCTTCAGAATGGTATTCTTTGTGCTGAAAAATAGACTTCACCTTAATATATGGTGTGCCACTGATAGATATATCAAATAAATGCTTACTGGTACAAAATCCAATTCTCATCTGTTGACTTGTAAACATTAAGCTTGAGTATTGTTACTTAAAGTAATATTTGTTTATTTAAGATTGAACAAAATGATAATTTACCTCAAATATAGTGGCCATTCTTTTTGTAGAGCAAACTGGAAAGAACTATGGGCAAATTCTCTTATACTCTGCAATGAAAAAAAAAGAACAGAGTGTTTACAGTTTATGAAAATATTGCTTTTAATAGAATTAAAAACTGCTCTCTTATCTCAAAATATGTTTGATTTATGAATGAGCTTATTACAATAACAGGCTTCCACATAATGTATACACTTTTGATTCATTTATAAGATTAGTATTTTCTACATAAATTCGATTTTTTCACTGAAGGGAATTCAGCATATTCTTTCCTCTTGTTGAAAACAAGAGACCCAGGAGCCACTGCTTACTTGAGAAGTTAGCTTGAATAATGAATTAAAGAAATCTGTTCAGTATCAAAAAGTTTACATATACAATAGGTCCTCCTTAACCCCTACCCACCCAGGGAATAGAGTCATGATTTGTACAAAATAGAATCTGCACTACCTGAGGATGCTTCAATATAAACATAACAAATCATGGCTTTTCTATTCTTGAAAACAAGATTTTTAAATATTCCCTAAGTAAATCTTTGATTCCCCACTGTGGTCCACCCTACCCCCAAGAGTCCTGATTTGAACAAATCTTAATCTACACAATGTGATAAACCTTTCACATAAATTTTGTCTTTTCTGATCCAGTTGTTTTTGAGATTTTCAAAAGGTCTATTAAATTTTCACTCAATTATCTCCCCTTAAAATATGGTATGAACAGAACAAACATAAGTGCTCTTTATACATGGATGCTTTGTGGCAAGTTTAGCTGAAATTGGCCAAGTGGTTCTTGAGAAGAAGTCAGAATGTTAAAAATTTACAGTGAGTGAGAGACACACAACAGAAGACAGAACCAGGCAGACACACTTCATCAGAAAGCTCACCTTAACCTTCAGCTCAGGTGAGCTAAAAATTAATTAATTTACAATCTTATGTTTACTGCTTTGTCTTGCTTTGATGAGAGCAATTATAATATCACTGAATATTGTAGTAAAATAATAATGTAAACAATAGGTCTTGGTACTCCGGTACCTAGCTCTTACCTTGTCTGTGTTATACATGGCCAGGGCGACACCTCCTGACTCTGTAAAGTCAAACACGTTGTAGTTCTGTTCCTGGCCGCCATTAGCTGGTGTGAACTTGATCTCGAGTTTACCTGGTCCAGGTACAACAAAATCTGTGGCACGGTACTAAAAATAGAACACATCATCAATAATACAACAAAATCTGTGGCACGGTACTAAAAATACATCATCAATAATTCAGTACGGTGGAAACTGAAATACTTGAACCTGACAGACTACTGAATCTTGTTCCTACATAGTTATAAAATAATCTTTTTACCTGGTCTCCATAAGCATGTCGGCCTATAACAATGCTCTTTGTCCATCCAGGTACAAGACGGGGAATGTTGCTACAGATGATGGCTTCACGAAAAACTGTACCTCCTAAAATATTTCTAATTGTTCCATTAGGAGACTTCCACATCTTCTTCAAATTGAATTCTGAAATTATCAAATTAAATTATCAATGAATTAGTTACTAAAAAAAAATAAATCATTGTGTAAAATGTGGTTCCTATCCTGCTCTGAATAAAACAAAGTTTGGTATCTACTCTCAACTCTGTAAAAATGTTGTTTTTCTACCCAACTTCTACTCAATAATGTAATAATTATAGGTGGTATGTGGTGCCTAACTTTAGTGGTAATCAGCCTTTACTCTATAATGTGAAATGTGGTGCCTTCCCTTTACTCTTTCAAGTAATATGTGATAATTAACTCTAATCTTTAAAAAAATATAAGGTACCTTCCTTTTACTGTATAATATTAAATGTGGTTGCTATATATATACAGAACATGTACCCCCAATCTGTAATAACCAAGAGATGTTGTGAAAGACTTATGCCCCCCCCCCCCCTCCTAGACATACACTGAAGTGTTTACAAGCCTTTATTATGGGCAGTGTACATAGAAATGCAAAATGTGTATAAATATGTGAGCGCGCAACATTTGCAAAGAAAATGAACTGCAAATAAATAAAATTTTCTTTCATGTCCAAGGGGCATAACTCTGACAAAAATTGCTTGATTGCACCAAAACAGGAACATGACCTAGATATTCCTATGATTAATCTGTAAACCAAATTTCATTTCAGTATGTGCAACCTTTGCAAAGAAAATGATTGAAATTTTTGGTACCAACAGACAGACAGACCAACCAACCGACTGACAGAGAGCAGCAAAGCAATAAGCCCACCCCTCTTCAAAGGGGGGCATAATAATATGGCACCTACCCTCCACTCTCTTCTCATCTGGGGTAATGGTGGCACACTTAATTCCTACATTGTACTTCTTAATAGCATTGGCAGCATCAATTGTTACTGAAAAAAAAAATCAGAGGGAACAGATAAGTATTTTTTTAAAAGGATTTTATAAATCAGTATCACAAACAATGTTTGTGTCAAATACAATACTCAAATACCCAATTTTCAACTTGAACTTATTTAATATTCATGATTTTTATTTTATTTTTTTTTTTTTGAGTCCAGATGGTGAACTTTTCCTCATTCAAGAATTAAATTTTCTTAGTTTCCTTGTTTTTCCAATCCATTAAAATATTCTGCTCTATCACAGAATTTCAAAGTATATATGTAATTTATTTAGCTACACTTTTACTCTGGATTAAATGCAATATATCTTTATACAATCTAGTATGATGAAATAACAATGTTGATTTAATAATTTTTTGTTAGCAATAAAACCCCCACTGAGGGAATTCTTTATTGTTATCCTGTGTATACCCTGTGGTAATATTACGTAACTGTTGAGTAATAACTGTTATATAATCACAATATACCTTGGTCATCTGTTGCGTCTCGATTTTCCATTCCAAGATCATAGGAATGGAGCTCTAATTCCACAAAAGGCAGGATCAACTTCTGCTTGATTAAATCCCAAATTACTCTGTAAAATTTTGAGGAAAAAAAACTTTGTAGCAGCTCATTAATAACAATTTTAATTAAATGAAATATCATTTAGATTTTGTGAAATTAAAATGATTTAATGTTATAAAATGCCAAAGGGAACTATCGATCCCCCCTTGAATATTAAGGTGATATAAATGTAATTTGCCCCCCCCCCTTTTTAGACATGTTTAATGGCCCTTCTTATTTTGAATGCTCTAATTTTAGATCCGCCAATGAAATCCGACATGCCACATGTCATTCGATATTCTACTCATCTTTCAGGATTTAAGTAGAAAAAAAAAACTTGTTCATATCCGAAAGAAAGCATTAAAAAATTAAATTATACAGATAGATATTGATAACAAATTTTCCCTCTCTCATTAGAGATAAAAAATGATAGTAATGAAAACAGCTGTGGACAGATGCTCCGCCCACTTTTGCATGTCTTACCGGGTCATTTCATCTCCCTGCATTTCAACAACTGGTCCTCCTGCAAAACAAAGCCAATTTATTATTTTTTGTCATATCTTGAATTGCTTAACGACAATATTTCTTCATTTTAGATCGTATACCTTTGATTTTCCCCATTTTTCTTGTACAGAGACCGGTAATACACGCGTGCGTACAAGTTTGACGTTATCGCCTGGATGAACTTTGGACGCTACGGAAGAGCCCGTGTGTCATAAATGAGGCTCACCATGGGATACAGGCAGATTTTGAAATGTCGAGAAAAAATGAATATACGAACACCATCAACAATATTTACATTCTAAAGCAATTTTAATTTTTCACTTAAAAAAATATGATTTTGGGAGGGAAAAAGGAAAGATATTAAAATACTAATGTAATTTTTTTCCGGAAAAATAGAGACTGACGTAGGAACTGGATTTACACTCATTTTTACTTTGCACATATAAGTAAAACGCAGTTATTTTTTGTCCTGCAAACATTTTAACAAGATGCCGACTGCTGTTGTGTTGCTGGCAGAAGGTGCAGAAGAAATGGAAACTGTCATATCGGTTGATGTCTTGCGTCGTGGAGGTGTACGTTTCCTTTCATTGAACATATCATTTATCGTGTAAAGTGAAAGTAGAAATTCATGCCGGCTGTGCAGATATAAACCTGGCTTGACTTCCATGTGTTTCAGTGTTTGACACTGTCAAGTACATGTATGTTTTCGTGTTGTAAACTAAAATTCCACTATTCAGAGTCAAAGTCCTTCAAAAGACACTGTATGCTAACAGTAATATTAATACTTAATCAATGTTAATTAGGGGTCTACTGCCTTTCTTCAATATTCTTGTATCAAGTGAAAATTGTTCAGCACTCTAGAGCTGCAAGAAAGCTAGTGCTTTTGTATTTTTGAATTGTATTTCATGTGACCAGAACTTTGGGGAGCAACATTTTCTTTTTAACTTTTGACCTTGACATTTGAATTTTAACAGGTGCTACAGTAGTACATGGATATTTGTAAATTTGACTGGACCTTTCAGCAATATTTTTTTTACCCTCTGACCTTGAACTTTGACCTTCTTTCATTAAATTTTAACCTTGGACATAGCTTTTGAATTGTGGATGCTAAGGCTTTCATTCATCACATGTATTTTTTGTGACAAGCAATTCTTGACACCTGACCGTGACCCTTTAGGTTTGACTAGAATTGAAATTTGAAAAGAACTTTAACCCTGCACATAATTTTTAAATGCTTGGTGCTACAGCTTTCATATTTTACCTGTTATGCATTCCTTGTGATAATTAAAATCCTTTCTTCATTGGTACCAATACTTTTACCTCATGACCTTTACCTTGGAATTTGACCTACTTTTGAAAACTGTAAACTTAGCCATATTTTCTGAATTGATATTTTGGGGGGGGGGCTTTCCTTTTACATACATGTATGTATTCCTTGTGTCATGATCTTTTGGAGGTTTTTACTTACATTTTTATGCCCACCTTCCAAGAGAGGAGAGTATATTGCTTGTCTGTCTGTCGGTCCACCATCAGTTTCTGTTTATTTTCTTTGCAGGGGTTGCACTTATTGAAATGAAATTTGGTATATTGAAATGAAATTTGGTATAAAGATTTATTATAAGAATATCTAGGTCAAGTTCTGTTTTGGGGTACATGTATGATCGAGCCATTTTGGACAGAGTTATCCCCTGTGGACGTACAAAAATTCCAATTACTTGCAGTTTCCGTTCATTTTCTTTGCAGGGGTTGAACATATGGAAATGAAATTTGCTATACAGAATAATCATAATTCATAAGAATATCTAGGTCAAGATATGTCTTGGGTACGATCGAGCTATTTTTGACAGAGTAATGCCCCTTGGACTTAGAAAAATTCCAGTTATTTGCAGTTTTCATTCAAAAGTTCTGTTTTGGGTACAATCAAGCCATTTTTGACAGAGTTATGTCCTTTGAACTTAGAAAAATTCCAATTTGGAATGGGTATTATTGTTTTACAAATATCTCTTGTTTAATTTGTAGATAGATGTGAAGTTGGTGGGGCTACATGGGACTGAGCCAGTGCACTGCAGCAGAGATGTAAGAATTGTACCCGACACCACCTTGGCAGAGGCCCAGAAGTCAGCTCCGTACGACGTAGTCGTCATGCCAGGGGGAGCAAATGGAGCCAAGAATCTCGCAGCTGTAAGTGATTTAAAATCACAGGATTCAGCCGAAGGCTCAAGAGAGCTTTTCTGATAAAAAAAAAAATGTCAATTTACTATCATCATTGTGGCTCAGGCACTGGAAGCTTTTCACAATTTCTCCAGAAAACGAGTCCAATTTCAGCCAAACTTAGCAAAGAGTATCCTTTGGTAAAGAGGTCCTCCATTTGTTCCAACAAAGGGCCATGGCCTCTCAAAGAGGGAATTAATGAAGAAAAGGCAAAAATATGTAGGGTATTATGAAATTTTTTCTCATGAACCACTGAGCCCTCTAAAAAAGAAACTTGTGAAAGGAATCAAGAGTTTTTCATTAGAATATGAAAGTAAAAATTAATGGTTTCTGAGGGTAGGGTTCACAGTTGGGCTGCAATATGGAATCTGAAATGGAAGTATATGTTTAAAAATGTTCTCAAAGCTAACAGGACCAGGTGAGGATTAGTAATAGTAGTATGCAAGCATCTTCAGGTCATACAGATTCTAGCTTGTTCAAAGCATCCACCCTTCACCCCCATCCACGAGGATAGGATGGGGCCTCAATAGAGCATCAATGTTTTACATTGAAAGAATGAATCCTCTTAACACTGCAATCTCGCCCCTTTTTAAATGCAGAATTTTACCCTTTTAAATAAGAACAGTGTTATCTTATAGCTAAAGTCTTCAAGTATAGTCTGTATAGATACTAATAAAGAATTTTTTAGGAAAGAGACTTTTAATATATACATGATATCGACTAAATAAAGTCGCATATTGCACAGTAAAACTTCGCCATTCGCTATATGTAGGCCATTGTAGAATTAGCATTTGAATGGAAAGGCGGGGCGTCTATCAAGCGTGCGATTAGTATGAATATATAAGCGTGTGTTCGAAGTTTACTACATTTTATGATGAAGTGACACCTAAAAGACCCTTTTTTAGTGCAAGAGACTGAACTCATATAAGCATCCTTTTTTTAATTTGTCAGGCTTAATTTTTTTTCTGCTTAAATAACGAGTTATATTTGAAATTCGTCAAATTATTTATGTATAAATACACACAATGGAATTTGTGAATAGAACGTATAATGCAGGATTCCCTCTTTTTCATACTTAAAACTTTATTTTGATAGATAATCAATCCATTAAAGCTTATAATTAATTTGCTTTTTAAATTCACGTTAATAATTATTTCATATCATGTACATATATATAATTTTGCGAAGTTGGTGTGCTACAACAAATGCGGTTGAATTGTGATATAAAACTTCACTCTGTGTATGAAAAATAAATTCGCAAGAAAGTGAAAACTAAACGTCAGTTTAACGTCAATATTATCGTTGCTGGATATAAAAAAAAAACCTTCAGTGTTAGACAGTTGACTTTGTACAGTCCAGGTTGCATTGTTAAAAAAATTCTCGTCCTCTAGTGTTATAAACAATGAACCATTTCAAAGAAAAAAAATACACCCTTTTTTCATTCGATTTATTGTTACATACTAATATTTATATTTAAATCTTTCATTGTTGTTAGATTTTGTGCCGATGTAATTAAAAAGTAACATTTGTAGTGTCGCCAGATGAAACCCGGAGTTTCCCTCTATTTATAATTAATTGCATGTAGGGGTGCATTTTGTGTAATGTGTTTCATCCGATATATAAATCTTTTTAATGCCTCACACATCAATTTCTTTTCCGTAAGGATTCTTTTATTTAATTGGAATTACGCATTTGTAACAAACGGTTTATTTTCTAAAGATATGAAAATTGGTATTTTTTAAAATAACGATCGTAATTTTTTTTTTATCTTCCAAGAGTCAATGAACGTAACGCTGATGTGATGTACATGTACATGTATGCAAATTGATAATATAAATTCCCTCGGTATTTTTTTTTTTCAAATTCTGTATTAATGAGATATAAGCAGTAAGTGCAAGCTTTATGCTACAAGCCTCCAAAATATATTGATAAATACCGGGAAAAAAATCAAACAAGATTGACTGAAATAACAAGTAAATCAAAAATGTGAACAAGTTTTAAATATACCGTTTTAAAGAAATTTTATCCCATGGTACTTTAAATTCTAATTACCTATTTGAAAAGGATTTGACCATCGATAGCTCGCAACACTGGACACGATGTCGCATTATGAAAGTGAATAGATTTGAGTCACGTGTTCAATGCTTTGTTATTTATGAGGTCAAAGGCGGGTTGAAATTTGTAAACAAGGTGCCTTTACTATAGACACAGGTACCCGTGATTTTGCACCTTTTTGGAAAATAACGTGAGCGCACGGCTGTTTCAATTTCTTTCATGAATTGAAATGACAAGTTTAACTCTTTACATTGATCCTATTTACTACAACTTGAAACATCAATGCGCTCATATAAAAATTGGGCTTTCAAAATGGGGGTGTGGCCTAAAGTCTATGGGAAACCGATGTAAACAACGTACCCCTGCTATATTAATCAGATAAATACCCAATTACAGTGCAAGTAAGTGAAAATTGAAAATGAAATTAATAAACTACAATGTTTGATGAAAAGATTAAGACAAAAATATGTAGAAATCCTTTAAACTTATTTTTTGTAAATTATCGGGGGGCCAAATGTGGACGTTTAAACGATTCATTCTTTGTCAAAAAAATCTAACTTTCATGAACAACAAACATCATGATAAGTGATAGAATGTGCAAACCTTGAATTTGTCAAGTCATGTAGATTCAAGTTTTTGACCTTTAGAAGAATCAAGGAAAGAACACATGGCCATGATTAATTAAACATATTAAAATGCAAGTTTCCTCTGATAGTGTAGATTCAAATTTGTTCAATTCTTGACCCCCTGATTAGACTGAGGCCAAGTACTGAAGAACACTAGGGCCAAGGTGATTCAGGGGAGCATTATGGCCCATGTTTTGTTTTTTAAGGGAGGGGGCATTTGTTTCTCTAGGACTACATGCATGTTATCAAATATTTCAAGGAAAATATTCTGGAAATAATTTATTTTGTGACTTTGTCTGTTTCTTATTTCAGTCCTCTGAGGTTAAAAGTCTCCTAGAATCACAGGTGGAGAACCACAAGTTAATAGCTGCCATTTGTGCAGGTAAGATTCTTTTTTCACTATAGTGTAAGATAATTTTATTTCCAATTTTGGGCCTAGAAGGCATAAAGGTTTCTTACAATGACAAGATAGAAAGTTCTAAAAGAAAGGTTTATAGTAAACATATACAAACATATATATATATATATATATATATATATATATATATATATATATATATATATATATTAGTTTGTTCTTGAGGCTGGTCTTAAATCAAAGTTTAAGATTCTTCTTGATATAAAAACTGGAAATAATGTTTTTTACCTGTATTTAAATCATTGATGAGACCTTTACATGCTGTTTTGCAAGACTATCTGTATAGTCATTATGCAAAAATATTGAACTGTAGATACTTGAAATGGGTAGGATGCATTAAAATTGCTAAAAAATCTAAGGGAAAAAAATGACAATATGTGCTATTAACTTGCAAACTATAGTGAATTACAGTACGTGGATAAAATTGTATGAAAGTCACTTTGTATAATGCTTGAATTTTTAATTTCATTTTAAAAATATTTTTCAGCTCCAATAGCATTGGTCAGTCATAAAATAAACCCGGGATCCAAAGTAACGTCACATCCATCAGTCAAAGGAAAAATGGAGGAAGGTAGCCATAATTCCTTGTACATGTATATTATTCTGTACTGTATACTATACATATAACTCATTCTTCAGAACTGAATTCAGATGTGTGACCAAAGGGCTATTTTTTAAAAATAATCAATTTCATAATTTATGTATATTAATTGAGTCAGTACCCTTCCTGTTTCTGAAAAAAAATTATGGGAAGATAATCTGAAGTCTTTAAAAAGAGATAGGTGTCCAAATGTACAAGCATGTCTGAAATTTTATGTACGTAACTTGGTGTCCACAGTGACTGTTTTTTAAATCAATAAGCTATTCTTTTCTGGTAAATCCTTTTTGAAGTATATAAACACTAGTTTGCATGCTTGAGTTATTTCGGCCTTATTCCATTATAATCAGAAAATATATCCAAGATTACCAATGGACACCGTTACTTACATAAGCACTAAACAAGTAACATATTACTAGAGATTAACAAGTTGTTAAAATATGAAATTAATGTAATCAAATGGGTATGATGAAATCATGTTTAATGTTATATTAAATGGAATTTATTTAAAAAGTCACAATCTTTATTTCTAGTTTCAAAAAAGGAGAAATTATGTAAGTAACATGGACACCTAACTCCGAATCAAGCTTTAAAAAGGAACAAAAAAATAACAAGACAATCGAACACTTGTCTTTAATACTTTAAATATTTCATTTCAAAGCTTAAAAATAGACTAGCTTTCAAAGAGAATTAATGCAGACAAGTAAATTGTCAAATGGATTGCTAAATATCCCAGGTCTTCTATTTTGAGTCTTGTCGATCTTTGTGTCAATGTTACGAACATAATTCAGTCATTTCTTGTAAATCTGAAAGAGAAAATGATATAAAACAAAATACACCATAATGTAATCAATACATATGCTGTTTAAGTACAGGTCTCTGTAAGAATCAGACAATATGTGTATAAAAGTGAATCATGAGGGTTCTCAGAATTCGATGATTTTACACACATAGGTTTCTCTTGCACTATGAACCACGTATGTAAAATGAAAATTATTTTGGGTCCTGGTTACTATGGAAACATGGCCAAAGAAATTTTCCCTAGCAACCGGTCAATTTTCAATGTGGATGGACAAATAAATCACTAAACTTAGAGGCTTGAAAATGAATGTGAATATTACCAGAGGGGTTCTTAAATAATGTTATCATAAAGATAAACATTTCAAGTGATTAAACCATGTAATACATAGAATTTTTAATTTAAGATATTTCTTTTACGGGCAATGGAAGATATACATGTTTTGCATTTTTTGCTGATTCAGCATTTTTGTTAATTTGGGCAATTTTCAAGGCCATATATCTCAAACTTCTGGCACAATACAAGAGTATGGCATATTTTGCATAAAGGCAGAGGAATATCCCTTTTGGAATTTAAATTCAAAAACGTGTGTTTTTTGATATTTACGATCGGTTGCCTAGCAACAAAAATGGATGTTTTGATTAAGAGAAAGAGACAAATTGTCAAATATGCGAGTTATTTATGGAATTAAATCTTATCTGTGGATATCAAAATCCATTTTTAAAGTAAAAACCTATTTCTGAGACTTCTTTGTGAATTCAGGAATATTTTGCAAATACTAATCGCCATAGCAACAGAAAATTCTCCATAGCAACAAAGAATATAAATCAACTTTTGACACTCACTCATATATGTTTGTAAATAGATTATTCAGTGTTTGACAGACCACAGTGATTTAAGAGCACGAGTACATTTTTTGTACTTTATAAGTCCTCAGCCCGTGAAACTGGAGGGGGCTTTAGGTTTCCTCTGAGTCTGTCCATCGGTCTAGTTGTCCCCATGTCTGTGTGTAAGTCTGTCCTACTTGGGTTTCCACACCTATTTTCTGAACGCTTGCAGATATTGAGCTGAATTTCGGCATGTGAGTGTATCTTAGTGAGTTACAGATTAACTTTGAATGTCGTTACGCTTCATTGATTTTTGATAGATTTAATATGGTGTTTTAATTTTTTCATGATGGTTTAAGATCGGGTTCGTGCTGCGCTAAATTCCAAAGGTCAACATGGTAAACATGAAGCCAAAAGCAGATGAATTTCGAATTCCGTTATGTGTTTTATTATTTTTTTTACCAGTAGATTAAAGTCATGCATAACCTCAAAATTTTAACATCAAACACTTTTACCTTGGTCATAACTTTTGCATATTATAAAATGACATTCTAGAGAAAAGGGGGACATGCATTGCTTAGCAATAATCTCAGAGTGCTTTTAAGGTTAACCCATGGCAACAACAATGAGCATGTAGCTATCATGAAAAGTTATTAAGCACCATCAGTGGCAGATTTGGGTTTTGTCAAAGTTGGTGTAAATCAGTTTCATCTAGAAAATGTTAATGTTTCTACTTGGTAGACCTCATTTTTACCCTATAAAATCTCTAAAATCTAGGAGCTTCCGGGGGCTTCGCCCCCTGGGCCCCCACCAGGGCTTTGCCCTGCACCCACTGGGGGCCTCAAGGCGGCCCCAAGATCCCTTGCCTACTTTTGGCGCCCCCTCTAACTTCAATTCCTGGATCCGCGCCTGGCCATCATCTATAAAGACCTGAACATTTATATAGGAGCTGTACATGTGGTATGTACTGTCTCTGAATTTCTTAAAACTCCCTTTAAAGTCTGACATTGTTATTGAAAGTTATGCAAAAAATTGGTTGCTATGTGTCACTGTAACCATGGCAACATGTCATAAATTTTGAAAAAAAATATGGCATTTTTTAATATGTTTAGAGTATTATAGTTAACATTTGTACCTAAACAAACAAGTGGCAAGGTTCCAGGCCATAAAAGTTAGACGAGTTTTCTATCGATGTCAATCTCACAGTTACATGTAAAGGTTGAAACACATGTACAACAAAATATTAGAGAAACATTTTCCAGGGACGAAACCACAACAAGCCTTCAACTGTAAAATATGTATGTTTTATTTTATCCTAAATTTAAAAAAAATCACATTGCTATATAACTCACTCAGATGATCAATATAAAGACATTGTTTTAGTCATAATTAACATACTAGTAGATTTTCACATTTCAAAATTTTCAAACTCTATTCTTCCAAAAAGAGCAGTGTTCGGGAATTAAGCAGAAAAAAATATGCATCAATTAAAATTTGAAACAAAAGGCTCAGGGACCACATCCCTCACCTGAGCACCTTAGCTGGAATCAAAGCAAAAATCAGTTTAGCCTTGGAAAGATTAAATGTATTTGTGGTCCCGACCTAACCCCTAAAAGGGAGGGAGTATGATGTCCTAATTCTCAAGTGATACATGTATCCAATGTAACTTAAGTTCTTCCAAATAAGTACTATTTAAGGTGAGTCAAATGACAAGTTTCTTGATTAAAGCTGAACACTACTCGTAAAAAGGCATAGTCCGCCATATTTCCTATTCTTCAAAGCTCTCCTTACAACCCACATATAAGGAGCAGATCGCTTATCAGTTCAATGCATTTTGCTGTAAAGATCCGACAAGTGTAGACGTACATCTTACATAGCCGTGCTACTCGGTCGTGATGAAATTATCAAAGTTAATATACTTTTTCCAAAACAGGACAAAAGTATAATGAAAAATACAGGTTGATACATCATTTACAAGCAGAAAATGCACATAAAAACAAGGAATAAACGCAAAAAATCTAAAACCACGCAATGAGTACTAAATGTTGGCCACGAGTTTCGAGTGTGCAATCGAGTGTAACAAAATCGAACTGTTTATATACCCGTTTTACAGTGCCTATTTATTAGAAATGTTCAGCTTTACATGTAAATAGTACCCCCCAAAAAAATTCCAAAAGCAGCTAGCAAGATATTTCTTTAAACCACTGGTACTTTGTTTCCGTGGTTACACGGAAAAGAAGAAAATGATCAAATGTTCTTATGTTGTTGGTGTTGTAGTGTTGCAAGGTCCTAGGGATGTATACATGTCACAAATGCGGATCCAGGGCCGGTGTGCCGGTGTAACGTTGAATTTTGACCCGGGTTGAAAATTGACCCGGGGGTCATTTCTCAACGTTGAATACTGAGACCAAAGGTGTTGAATTTAGACCCTAATCCGTTGAAAACTGAGCCGGGTCGTGGAATTTTGATCATGAAACCGGTTCAAAATTCAACAGCATAAAAACACATATTTATGATTGGGTTTTCACTACTGTGATTTAATTCATAGGTATGAGGCCCCGTTTTGGTATTTACTGCAAAAAGTAATATCCCCTATTTGAATAAGTGATATCACCTGTTCCAATAGATGATATCACCTATTTGATTTCAATTTGTGATATCACCAATTCGAAAAGGTGATATCACTTATTCAATTGGTGATATCGCCTATTCGATTGGGTGATATCACCTTTTCTCGTGGAACAGCTTTTTTTTTTTTTGCTTACAAATTAATTTATTTCACTTAAATATCATGTATACAATAAGAAAATCGTAGGAGACGCATGAAACTGGGTAGTCCGAATTTTCTTGGTTCCAGTGTAGTATAATATATATTTTAGGAGCATTCATTTATTAAGGAATGTTTTAAAGTTTTGTGTAAGTTATTGGTGTGTGAATCACACAGACTTGTCACGTAGGCATATTTCATGAAGCGCGCTAGCGCTTCATGAAAAATATGCCTACGTGCAAGTCTGTGTGATTCACACAACAATAATTCACACTAAACTTAAAAACAATCCTTATATTTACATTTTACATGTTTGGAAGCAACTAAAATATACTAAATATTTGAATTTCTCGGTGCCCTATATCGTTGCATTTTACTAACGTCGCTGCAGCCTCATTGTGACGTCACGTTAACGCACGTTTCTCCGTGTATATTTCTACACGTGAGTATACACGAAAATGGTTTTCAAATCAATTTCACAGTTGGCTTACTAGAAAAACACAGCAAATGTAAATATTGACTGTTGTAAGAAACTCAAATAGGTAATATCACCTTTTTGAATAGGTGATACCACTTATTC